AAGGTGTAACAGCTCCACCAAAGCAGAGGGTTTGAAGATAGAGGGGGGGAAATCACAGAGCTGGAAAGCAGCGTGGACACCGTGTGCCACTGCAGTGAAGCTTTGCCTGCTGTGCAGCAYGGGGTTTCATGGTTTCTTCAGGTCTGGAGGCCTTGCAGAGACACAGAGCAGCTGAGGAAGGGTTCASCCTGGGAGAAGGGCTTTTGTGCACCAGAACAGATGGTGTTTTCCTCATGTCTGGGATTGTGCTCTCACCTTCTGGCGAGAGGAGCAGGGGGAGGTAGAAACCCTAACACGGAAGGAGGTGAGCTTGAATTGATTGAAGTGATAGCCATCTGAGCCTAGCTAGGGCAGGTATTTATGTAAAAACCAGTTGTCAGAGATATTTATCTACCTTTCCGACAGACGTTCCTGTCACTTCCACTCCGGTCACYGCGTCCTACCACGGCTGCATGACCCTCAAGCTGAGGAACACYGCACTGGACTTAGATGAGGCTCTGTACAAGCACAGTGACATCACCTCACATTCCTGTCCTCCAGTCGAGCAGGAGGGTCAGTAGGTACCACTGCAATGCAAAGGTTTTATACTCAGAAACTTTCAATGCTTTTCTTTTTTTAAAAGATATAAATTATTCAGATCTACCGCACTGCGTGTATAGTTTCTCTTAAACACTGAAGTTATGTAGAAGCTACTGATCCTTATGTCAGATTGATTATTGAAATACTCTTTGCTTTGAGGTTTAAAAGTTGTAATATATTTGTAAATAGTTCAGAAGACWAATATTGAATAAGTCAAAAGTACAGAATATACTGAAAGTGAATGTTGTCTTTAGACTGTAAGAAACAGTTGCATCTGTAATGTGGAAAACCTGGTAATATATGAGYGTGGACTGGAAGAAAAATAATAATTCTGTATTATTTTTTATTACCAAACACTGCTTTCTGATTTGCAAAATTCGAGAGAATAAAATATTTACATACAAGTTTTTAATTTACCTGTACTGAGATTATTCTGTATTCTGGTATTTGGAGACAATGACTCAGACTGTGCTGATGTGGAGGTTACACATATGCATGTTGGGGTGGGGGGAGATGGCAGTTTTGTTAGTTTGGATTTTTTTTTTCCTGAAGGTGGAGGGTTTATGTGCTTACATCAGCATTTCATGTCTTCTCAGCCTCAGAGCAAATGGTGGCTGCTGTTCTTATTGCTAAAGTTTCTCATTCTGGTACCACAGAAAGAAGACTCAGTTGTGACCTTTAGTAAAACTCTTGGTCAACAGAAAATGGAAAGCAAAGTTGGGTCAGCAGGAAACATTCAGAAGAAAAGACTCAATAAGTTGAAAGACATATGGCTTTTGTGTCAATGGMTGCTGAGGAAAATGATGAGGTGTTGAGAATTGGGGAATATTATCTGGTGATGACATATTTTTGCTGCTGCATTTTTAGGTTGGCTCATTCMCTGTGAGCCTAGTGGGAGCAGAGAGGTTTGAGCTGTGAGAGTTAGCCAGGCTGAGCTGCAGGAGGTGAGAATATCCATGGGGGTTTATGCAGGAGAGGTTCTAGAACCATAAAGTGTGTTCAGCTTTTCAGCTATCCTACCAAAGCTGGGATGGGCTTTGCCTAGCCTGCCTCGAGTCACTTAAATCTTGTTCTATTTGGTCCTTGCCTTGCATCAAATTAATAAACTGAATAATACTGGTATATGCTGTGGTGCAMAATCCAAATACTGTGTGACTAAGGTCACACCACCCCTCACAGGATGATCGTGAAAAGGTCTAATTCTGCAATGTTTTTTATGCATTACTCTTGGCCACTCATGTTATGTTTTCCCTAAGCAGAGATGACACATTAGTCTAATAATCTGCATGTGTGACAACATCTGTGACCAAACTGGGAAGACACAACTGTTCCAGAGGAGAAGATGAAAGAGGGGGAAGACTATCCCAAGCTCATTCTTTGRGAAGGATTCCTGCTTTATTTAGCAGAGAAGAGGAGGGCACTCTATCAGCCATTAGACACGGCATCATAGCTTCTTCTCATGAGCAAATCAATCAGCAGTAATGCAGTAGGGCAGAAAAGTGCAAAACTTCATCACTTTCAACCATACTACTCATTTACACTTAGAGAAGGACCTGTCAAAACCCTTTACTGTCGGGTCTGACCAGATACAAGTTTGAAAGGAAAGTTCCCACTAGACAGTAATAACTTATTCTTGGAATGTGCATGGATAGGAACACCCAGAGGTAGTTCTATGGTTTGGGTTTTTTAACTGAGCAAGGGAAACCATGTTATTCCTGTGAGCACATTTGTTACAGCTGGATCAATTTATGATTTAATGGAGAACCCAAGAAAGATTAGATTGATATCTTCAGTAAAAGCTGGAAGTCCTGAAGATACTCTGTTGAATAGAATGTCCACACTGCAGAGTTTTATTTTCTGTATGTTTTTCATGYTATTTTAGACTTTTACTGATAAACAGCTCTGTGCTTTTGGGAAAATTTGGGTTAATATTCTTCACAGTAGCCCCTATTGTGGGGCTGGGTTTGTGTGGGAAACAATGTTGACAACTCTGGGATGCTTTAGCTATTGCTGAGCCGGGATTGCACAGTGTCAAGACCTTTAGTGCCTCTCACCCCATCCACCAGCGAGGGGGCTGGGGGTGTGCAAGGRGCTGGSWGGGGACACAGCCGGGACAACTTATCCCAAGTGACCAGAGGGAAATCCCACACCATATGGCCTCATGCTCAGCRTATAAAGCTGGAGAAAAAAGAGGAAGGGGAGGGACACTGAGTGATGGTCTTTGTCTTCCCAAGTCCAAGTGGCTCAGTTTTCCCAGAGATGGCTGATCACCTGCCTGCTCTTGGGAAGTGGGGGATGAATTCCTTGTTCTGCTCCRCTGGTGTGTRCAGCTTTTGCTTTACCTGTTAAACTGTSTTTATCTCAACCCACAAGTTTTCTCACTTTTACCCTTGTGATTCTCTTCCCAATCCCAGAGGGGGAGAGTGAGTGAGYGRCTGCCTGGGGCTGGGCTGCCYGTTKGGGTTCAACCACAAATAGCTCTCATTTTTTTAACTTGGAGTAGCTCTACTGAAAAAAGTACAGACTTGGAAGACACCTGTTTTAAAACCAAGATGAAACAAGCCCTGTTTTACTTTGTTCTTTTCAAATGAAGCATGTTAGCAAAATTTCTGTGGTAGCTCCCAAAAAAAATCATGTGGCATAAATGAATCACAAAYACGTCTGACCTTTGTGTTAATGTAAGTGCCACTATTTATGAGGCCAGAATTATTTTGGGTCCTGATATATGAATCCAGTGGTACATTATGGTACTCTGCAGGAGCATTTAATTTTTTTAATTCAGAGCAGAAACTGCTCCTGGACTTTGCATATGTGTGCATGTATGTGAAGATATTTTGCATAGACCACAATGCACCTGGTTTAGAAGAGAAACTCAGTCTGAAGAATGACAGAAGAGGTGGGGGTGTCTTTTGCATAAAGGTGATTTTTTTTTTATAGCCTACAGCAGTATCAAACTAGAGAAAGAGGTTTGGAGCAAGAGGTAGCTGCAAAAAGCATTCCTTCATTCCTGCTCAGTCACTTGCTACAAGCCAAGAGAAACRTTGATTTCATCCTTGTTGAGTCTAGGTGCTCAACCCAAAGGGATCAAGTCTGTTCTGGATTTTGAGTCCTCAAAATGAACCCAGGCGCTTCCCTTGGTAGTATCCATAGTAAACAAAGAGAAGTAGATGTGTARCTTCACTTATTTCATAATCAGAGTGGCTGTGCTTCTCACAGCATGTGTTTGCACAGGAACTAAGCATTTTGGATGCATTAAATTAACGTTTAAAACAAAACCAATGGTCTCTTCTCTGACTTCTGTTACTCTCAGCCAGGTTCATACAACTCACCTTGTTGACAATACATAGAAGGCACCTTATCATTGATCAGTGGCCTAAAACTGCATCTCAGAAAAACTGCAATTGAACAAAAGTTGGATTTTATTGACCATATAAATTAATCTCTCTTCTTATGTGCATTAGTACTGAATCTGCTTTTTATACAGAGGTACAACACATCAATTATCAGAAATTACTTGGAAGTTGGGAAGTATGTAAAAGGACGATCATTCTTTGTTCTATTTTGAGCAGGCCTGATGGCGTCACTTCCCTTTAAAGGAACTGTCAWGTAAGCTGGTTTTGTTTACTTTTATTTTTTCAATATTTTCATAATACAGAGCAGCTGCTTAAAATGTTAATGAGAAATACCTTCTGTTTCCAGTTTTGCTCTTTGGCCTTTCAGGAAATTTCTAGAGCTTCATTGCTGTCYAGACAGTAAGATCTATGGATCAAGCAAAACCAACACGGTTCCTGCAGGAGCAAAATGTAACAAGGGATGCAGCAGACAGAAGGGTTTTCATGCTGGTTATAAGTACTCCTGTCCCAAAATCTGGCAGGTGTGTGCCAGAAAGGAATCCCAGCTAATGTGGTGCACAGTGAGGTGGCAGGATGCAGACAGCAGGGACATGGCTTTTTTCCTGTTAATGTTACTTGTTAATGTTAATTGCTTAGCCTTTAGAGAAAATAAATAAATAAAATAAATAAAAGGAATTAGGCCACTTCATTCACTCTTATTGTAAAATGCCTGCATCAGGTCTTGGATTAGTTTAAAAATAAAGAAGAGGCCTTTAGCCTAGAATGGTTTTGGTTGTGGTACTCTTTTGACAAGAAAGGAATTAATTTGAACACTAAAGTGCAGCTTAAAATACAYATCTGGAAATGGCATTTTTAGCACATTGACGTGACATTTTACTATGCAGACTAGGCTAGCACAAAGTTCAGCTAAAACAGTCTCAAAAAAATTAGCCTTTCTGAAACTTGAAAAAGGAAACTATTTAGTAAGATGTCTTCCTTGTTCTTTTGTTTTCCTGTCCTTCCAAATACATATAGTCATGTATAGTATAAATATACACAGTGAACTTTATTGTAAAATAATTGCCACACTTTATTGGTACAACACTTCCACCAGGGTTATTAAAYAAACACTACAAGCAAACAAACTCTTACCACCCAAAATCATTGACTCGGAGAGCTCCTGGCTACCCACTCAGACAACACAGGCTAAAACTCCTCAATATTGGTTTGTGAAAGCAGAACAAATATCTGGAGTGTTTTCTTCATTTTCCTCTTGAAGAAAATCTATTCTGCAGTGCACCAAGAATTAAATATCTCAAGGTTATGGTAGCCATAAAGTTCTGCTACATCTGACTGCAGACAACTGGGTGGTGATGTGCCTGCCCTTGCACTGCCAGGGCTCTGCACACTCACAGGGAGATGTGAGTAAAAGTGGAGTGGCAGCAACACACTCTGGAAGGTTCCTTTGGGAAGCCTAGTGCCTGCACAGCACAGTTTCCAGAAGCTTCTTAAAATCAAAATAGAAGTCTACCAGCTACTAAAATGAATTCTTTATTCTATGGTGCATATGGTGGGGGCTTTTCTCCAGGCAAGCAGTAAGTTGGTGTATAGAGGGCTGGAGCATTCGGGGGAAGGCCATAGCTGGAGCTGGACTGAGATGGAGGCTGAGTTTCTTCTGATAAAGAAATGTCAGTAGATGATGTTCCTGGAAAATTGCTGGCAGGCTGTATCAGACAAAGAAAAATACCTTCTTCAGTAAAGGGTTACAACCCTGTTGCAGTTCTGTGTTTGCCATGTGTTACAGAAGAGGCCTCATGATTAAATTTCCCATGCATTTCAGCACAACATGAGTTCTAAAGCACCTGCTGAAGTGTAGCAATGATGGTGTCTGGTGAAACAAGACAGATTACATCYGTAACCAAGTCATCTTTAATAGACATTGCACAGACAGCTAGGCAATAGAGCAGAACAGGAATTTCTGCAGGAAAAGATGCTTGGTTTCTTGGGTGAGGCACAGCACCTGTCTGACTGATCAGGTTACGTGTAGCTGCTCGTTTCCAGGCATCACTGAGAAATTTAAACTATCTCAGATGTAATTAATCATCTCAGTTGTAATACTTGCAAGGTCTTACTTCTTTGCCAAATGCAGATTCCTCTTAAGAGAAAATTTTACAGGTAGGCATTTGTCTCCCTCTTTGGCTCTCTCAGCTGTGATGGGGCTTTGGTTGGAAGAAGCACAAAATATAAACAGAGCTTAGGAAGTAGCCCATGTTCAGGAACAAGCAGGGATTGTTAAAACAAAGGAATGCATATAGGGAATAATACTCAGGATAAAAGTTCTACTGTTGCTTTAAACCAATTTTTGTCACTGATTTCCAGAGGGTCAGGATTTCACTCCTCCCCTCATATGGCAGCACATGCCAGTCTGTGGGCTTCAGCTGAAGACTTGGGCTCAGCTCCCCTCAGGTTCAGGCTTTAAGTGAACTTTAGGTGCCTGAAATTTCAAAACAAGGTAAGGTAATTGTGGAAAAGATCCCTTGATCTTTTTCAAGGGAAATGAAAAATCTGGGCAAGTAAATGATGCACCCTGTGGSCAAAAAAATTAATAGCCATGATCTAGAAGGCCAATGCCAGGACTGGACCTTGGACAGTGGCATCTCAGAGCTTTCCAGAGCTGGCAGACCCCATGCCAAGGTGTTCACCTTCTCCATGGGGCTCCATGGGAGCAGGGGCTGCTGCCCTGGGTCAAACCCTCCTGGAAAGGAGAATGTTGTCCTGCATTTGTACCACAGGTGAGTGAGAATGGGGTCATCCCAACAGGAAGGCTGATTATGCCCTTTAACTCTCTGTGGCAGTGCAAGTATGCTGACAGCCCTGCYATCACCCTTTGGCATTTGGCTGATTTCTTTTATAGACTTTGCCTATGTGCCTAGTGTTTATTCAGTGAGACCCTGGACTCAGCAGAGGAGCAGGAATGAACGTCATACACCTGTAACCTGAGATAATTCACTGGTGACTCCAAAGGGTAGACCAGCTCAGGCAGGGTCTCCTACTCTGTGGACACAAAAACTTAATTCAGTTGGCCACACTTAAGTGTCCAGCCCTTTTGGGATGCCGTGGGATATCCCAAATGTCCACACAGATGTGACTTGGGGACAATGGGACCTGAACCTGGACCCTCTCAGAGTGGCAGCAGGGGACAGGTGACTGACAGGTGATCTCCTTATCACACTGTACTAGATCCCTACATGCCAGTAGCCCCTGTGTTCAGTCAGGTGAATCCCAGACCCAGACTGGGATAAAGGACTACAAAAATCTGAGAGGGTTTGAGAAGGTCTGAATCCAGCAGCTTCAAGCACTTAGATGGAACATCACACCTCAAACCTGTAGCCCCATGGAATCAGCCCACAGCTCTCAAGCTTCTGCCTGTTCCTAATAACTTCTGTTCCCATCATTCACCATTGGTACCTTTGAATAASTTTATTATGATTTTTTAATTCATATACTGATACAGAAATTACTTCTCTCCAAACTGCAACATAATGAGCTCATATATACAGGGAGAGGACTCGCTTGGTTTTTGGTTTTTTTTTTTTTTTCCCCTAGGAATAGGATTAAGTTTTGCCATTTTGGATCCCAGTGTTTCTTACTAACCTGTCCTGGCTTGGGGACAGCTGGTGGTATCTGCCTCTGAATGTTATGAAGGGCAAGGAAGATAAATGAACACACTTTTTTTAAAAAGTAGAAATCTAGGAAAATAACCATGTTTATTTTGAAATGCAGATAAGAATTTGGGGTAAATGCAACGTATTTCTGTTTTTCTCAGCAGACACATGGCTGAACAGTCACAATGGATCCTACTTACATGCATCATTTCAGCTTAATTGCTCTCTTTCATCTGTTTTTGATCCCCTTCTCTCTCTACTCTTGGCTATGTACTAGCTGAACTCTGCAGAACAGCACAGCTTAGCAGCTAAAAGCAAACAAAATCATGTTCTTTTTTTGACTCTCTCAACCTGTGGTCTCCAAAGGTGCCTGGGCCCAATTTGGTTAATAAAGAAGACTGTTTTGTGGCTGTGAATCCATCTGGCACAGCATATCTGACATCCCTAAGGCTGAACTCTTACCACCAAGCCAATGGGACTGTCTATGTGCATGCTCCTACTGGGAAAAGACCACTGCCCTTGCCATCATCTGACCCCTTCAGAATGTTGTTCAGGGACTGCTATGTGGTGTGAGGAATGTGCAAAATAATGTGGGTGATCCCCACATACCATGTCCTGGTACTGAGATTTATTGGCTCTGAACAGATGTAGCTCAGGAGGCTGCGGGGAGCTGGTCCACTGTTAGTTCATGTTAAATGTACAGTGTTTCCAGCTGAGAAGTATTGCAAAACTTGTGGTAACCACTGATCTAACACTACCCAGCCAAAATATAACAAGCCATCAGATGGAACAAAACAGTCTTACTGTGTTTGGATAGATCTAAAAGCTCTACATTTGCCACGGGGCCTCATACACTCATTTATCAGCTCACCCTTCATTCATCACCTCACTCTGGAGGTGAAAAAAATAAGGAAACTCTATCATTAGCATCATTTTTTGCATTTTCCAGGCCAGCTCTGACTGGACACAACACAGGCTTGGAGCCTGACTTGCATCTCAGTTTTCTGTAGGAGGAGAAGCAGCTCTGACAGCTCATGACGTATCCCCTACCCCGGGGTGGAAGCTGCACCTCTGGCAGCTTTCCCTCCTTCTTTTAGGCCAGCTCTGTGCTCTGGTAAGGCTCACCAACCTCCACYACCTGCCAGAGSTGCTCTGTACCTGTGGTGTACCAGKGGWGGCCCATGGCAGATGCTTGTAGGAAGCCAAATGAAATCAGGCTCCATCTTCTGATGAGCCCCTGTTGGTTCTTGTGRCTGGCAGCCATTTGGGGACTTGCTGGGCTGCAGTGACACTTGAATCCCTAACCCCTCATTTATACTCCTCCACAGCATCTGGTGACATTTGAACCTTTGCTCGTGTATAAAACCCCTTCCAATTTCTGGCTTTTCTTACCACTTAATAGCTTTACTCAGGCAACAGAAACTTTGGGTGAACAAAAATTTTCATTAATGTCCATCCACAATTCCTTCCACATCAATCAGTTTCACAGGCCTCTTAYTCCCTCTCCTTTCCATCTGATGAGCTCTAATATACTTATCTYCATATTAAGGGTAAGGTGGGCTAAGTTGTGTGATTTTTTCTGTCACACTCTGTGTGTTATTCGATGCTTCCTGCGGCTTCCCCAAAGGGAAAATCACTGCTTTATCTTGCCAATGTGGGGGCTGTGTTCACCTTCATAACTACGTGTRCACTCCCCGAATCCCACACTGGGATTCCTCATCAGCAGGTAAGAGTCCAAAGGACAACCAGAGAAAGTTGAGGTCTGAGAGCAGACTGGAAAATCAGGCACAGACTTAGTCATCCCAGGGACAAAGCTGAGAGCTGGGGTGCAGCTAAGACTACCTCTGCAGAGTTTGTACTGAGTAGCAGGTTTTGCTTTTCTGGTGGTGTAAAGTGGGTGTTGTTCTGTACGGTACCTGGAGAGGCAGCGGGTAGGATGGATATGTAGAAATCGTTGCTGGAGAAGGGCAGAACCCAGCGTATGTCAGGATCTGCTGRGCTGGATTGTACAGGATCTGAGGAGGAGGTGCAGCACTGAAAGCGATTTGGGACAGAGGCACCTGTTGAGCACAGAAAATAACAAATATATCAGCACAGTGTAGAGGGGGCTGCAGCTGGAACTTCTCCCAACACAGGCAATGAGACACTTCAATAACTTTCTGTTTTCCAACACAATTCCAGTAGTACAAAAACCAAGGAGCAGACAGAATGAGAGGAGGGCGTATCCGGAATGAATTTTCTAAGTAAAAATACACAGCTATTTTAATSTTCTTTCCTTGGAAAAAGACTGCTGGTGCTTCCCTAGCAACAGTTACAGAAGCACTGGCAGGACTCCAGATCCCAGACASCCTAAAGAGCACAGCATACAGCTTTGGCTGCCTCTTCTTACTCATTCCAGCATCAAACACCCAGTTCTTCACCATTTGCTGCAGGCTCCTTCCAATAGCAACTACCTGATGCCCTCAAGTCTTTTSTCTCTTCTTTCCTACCCAGATTTACCTAGATGTCCTTCTCCAGACCAGTTGCTCCTCTTTCGTAATTCCCTCTCTGCTGGGAAATTGAGTTTGCTGCTGGTTCTCCAGCATCACTCTCCATGTGTTTACCTCATTCCTACTGCAAAAAATCCTTGTCCCATGGCTGCATTGTCCCATTCCTACTGCAAAAAATCCTTGTCCCACTGTCCCATGGCTTTATTGGCATGTCCCTTAGTTACAATACAAAATGAAGCTAGCAGGAAGAAGTAGCTCATATTAAACCACCTAAAACAACATGGTCGGAAAAAAAAAGAACAAAAGCTATAGGTGAAAGAAGGTTTGTGTTAAACCCTAAACCCCTGGGCTACATAACAATTTCTGAAGGASAGCAGAGAAACAGAGCTTTGTGAAATATTTTCATGAGATTAATCCAGTGGTTTCTTTTATTTCCTTTGTTTTTGTTAGCAGATTCCTCCACATGAGAGCATGGAATTTTCTTTTCACTGAAATAATAAAATACGGTGGTTGCCAGACAAATGTTGAAAGCAGCAGCCAGGATTTCTTTTCCCCCCCTTTTTTTTGTTTGTTTTTTTTTTTTTATATATCCTTTCAAACTTATCAGTAAGAGATATAAACCACTTCATCCCTTGCAGACAGTGTTTGAGAAAGAAGTATATTAATTGTGTTTGTACATGGAAAACATCTAGGTTACTGATGTACCACATGAGGTTACCGAACATCACAACAGTCCTAGAAGACAGATTTGGGGAGTCATCCAGGCCAAATCTACTAATCAAAGCATCTTATGATCAGTCTATCTGGTCTCAGCCCAGGAGCAGCAACAATTTGCAGGTGCTGAAGCTGGTTGGATGCTTTTATCAAATGTTCCAGTAAATACTTGATGCTAAATTACTCACCCAAAAGACAGGGGGGATTTGAGACATTCTAAACTGCACCAACACCCAAGGCAAAGAGATAAGGAGCTATGAACCAGCCAGGGAGTGCTGCCAGTGTCAGTTCACTGGCCTCACACAAACCTGCCAGAGCATTTATTTCTAAACTCCAGCTCCAGCTACTTTTCATGTCAGACTGCACCTTTAGTTGTACAAGTGCTAAGACATAAATGCATGGCAAGTGGCTCAGTAATCAGGGGTTAATTTTGCTTTCTTTTTCAAAGCAGGGTGAGGAGATAAAACAATGATATTGAATCTGCTCAGATTCCCTTAAGGACTGCAAAAGGAGATTAATTCAAGAAAATTTTAAAAGGCAGCCCCCTCCTCCCACAATCCTCTCATCAGGACTATTAGTAGTTCAGATTAATGCAGCTCTAAACTCAGGGCASGCAGATTCYTTGGCAARGYGTRTCAGAAAAACATCCAGAAGTGATCMRATGGATACTGGGAYAGGGAAGGGAGTTTCTAGATTAACTCAGCACCAGCAAGTGAAGTTCTCCACATAGTTCTTTGCCTGCAACTTCTGTAAGAAATAATCACAGCGTGTTATCATTTTGTTGATACAGGCACATCTCTTTATGGAATATCTTAATCTGCTTTTTGTCAAAGGTGACTGCCTCCATGTCCTATATCCAGACATGCTGTAGAAGGAAGGTTCCTGTTGCAATGACTGCAGCTCCCCCAGCACCTGCAGATCACAGAGGGCAGCCCCAAGGGTGACACAGCGGCCACCCTGGGGGTCAGGAAAGGATGAAATATTTCCCATTGAGCCAGCACAGCCCTCAGGCAGGCAGCAAAACCACAGGGAGCGTGCCAGGGTCKGCAGGGAATTTGTCACAAGAAAGAAAACCCTCAACAACCAAAACAACACTTTTTTTTCTGTCCAGGAAATATGATGGGTTTAAAGGCAAGGGCACTGTTTTGCAAACTCTCCCCTTTGTAACATGTTTGGGCTGCCAGCATTCCCCAGAGATAAACATGACGTTTTTTGTTTGGTCCTGTGCTTTCTGGAAGTCAATCCCAAAGCAATGCTGTGAGGCATTTCAAGGGGTTTTGCAGCTCTCCCTGTAAAATGCCAGTGRGCATTTATGTGAGAAGGTGACATCCTACAGCAAATAGCTCTCCCACATATTTTAATGGTGTTTTTTGCTCTTTTTATTTCAGTCCCATGCCCCTTTCTTTCCCTCTTCCGCTTGATGTTTTCTTGGCCCCTGACTTCCCCCCAGAGTTACTCCTTCTGTAAGGAAAGGGAGCAGCAGATTAGCAAATCAGCTCTGGTACTAACTCAAAAGAACCCTGAAAAAGCACAGGCAGGAGCAAGGGGTGCATTTTGGATTGCTGCTTTAGTAAGGCTTTCATAAGCACAGCTGAGGAGGTTGACATGAACTCATCTTTCCCTTGAACTATGACACCCTTTTTCTGCTCACACTGTCAGCAGACATTGAACAGCTTATTCAGATCAGGTTTTATCTGGAGCCTTGACAGACTCAGTCCAGCTAAACTGGGGGTAAAGCTGCACATCCACTGCTGCTGWGATTTCCTTCCATGGTTTTATGCCAACCCAGTCAGAGGACTCAGACCTCCCAGCAAGGGAATGTGTCACATCATGGAGACTGCATTGTCCCAGGAACATCTCCTTGGCTTACAGTGATGGTCTCCAAAGCACRGAGCTGCATCAAAGCCTCAACCAAAATCTCATGTAAGCTTAAGTTTGAGCAAGACAGGTTAGGTGGACTCAGGCTGGCTCTGCACCCTTCCCACAGCTGCCCTTGCACCCATCTGCCAGGCAGGAGAAAACATTCAGGGGCACTAAGSTGCAGTGCTCTCCCAGAGACTCACTGTAGGTGATGGCTGCCTTCACAATCCCATATAAGCTGCTCTTCCCCTCGTTTCCCACTGTGGATGTTTCTGCTCCCCTTCTGCTCCTCTCACAGAGAGGGGACGAATCAAGGTGGGAAAACTGCTTCTACTCCCCTTGGGCAGCTGGCTGCAATTAGTTATCAATTAGTCCCCTAACTAATAATTGTTATCAATTATCAATCATGAGTCTCCTCACCCAAAGGATAGCTCAGCTGCACGTTTTTTACATGAAATAGCTCAGCGTGCTTGTTTGGCTTAAACTACACAGAAGAATATTTCCAGGGAATTTTGCAACTCTTAACAAAGGTGAATTTCAAATTATTTATATGTCCCTGCTCTATTTTAAGCATGTTTTGAGCATCCAAAACATGTTGCAGACATCCTGGGTGTGCTTGCTAAGGAATTCTGGGTGGTCAAAGCTGGGTCTGGATGGCCTCCAGTCTGACTGGGTCCTTGACTCCCTGGGTGCCAGTTCTGATCAATCCCTTCCTGCCAGTCTGCTCCCCCTCCTGTCCTGATGTACATCTCAGCTATCTCTCTTGCTTTCTCTTCCCTGCTGTATCTCYCTTTTTAATTTTACCCATCTTTCTAGTTTGTCCTCTGCAATAATCACCAGACACATCATGGATCCAAGAACACCCGTGCTGCTGTCACACCTCCCTTTGGTTCCTGCATTTCACCTCCATCTCCACGCCTTGCCCATTTAGTTCTACCACTCTCCTGGGAGCCCAGTAAATCACGAGCCTCCCGCTTGATCTTTAGGCATCACTTTGGCAAACATGACCACTGACTGATAATCCCAGGAACAGCCACATCACCCTTTAACGTGTCAGAAAATCAAGGCACTTTATTGGAGAATCTTTCCCACCACACGGTCTCTTCTGAATGCTGTGGTGTACATCAGCACAACGTGGGAGCAGGTAGAAGGTGGCATTCCTCAGTGAAACAAAAGAGAGTGTTAAAGTGTCCCAAGCACACAACTGTTTTAATAAAACCTTGACTGGTACTTCGAAATTCATCCCCATTCTTGGGGAAGAGAACGACACAAGGCTAAACAATCACACCTAGGACTTGACTTTTACATGTTGGGTACAAACTAGAAACTCTGTGCTAGCCCACATGCTCAGTGATGAATTCAAAGGGAAAAAACATGCCACTTAGTGAAATGCTAGCATTTGTTCACACTGTCACCCTTTTTTTCTTCCATTCATGTAGTTGACCAGGCTTGACCCACATAGCTGTGAGCATCTGGCAACAGCTTTATCTAAAGGTATAAATCCATGAGAGAGGCTGAACTGTTAAGGGATTAATGACACAAAACATTCCCYTATTTGTTGAGAGACGCCCCAGGGTGCTTGATTGAGATGGACAAGGTGAACTTTTGGGTGTGTAGTGGCTAAACCTCKGATCTGATAAGGCACAGGATGAATAATGGACAGTGAATGAGATAGGAGCCAGATCCTGTGGAGAGGATTTTGCCCCTTGTCATGCTAAGTTGTCCTTCCTTGCACAAATCACTGACTTGGTGAGCTCATCCTCCTCGTCCCAGGGAGTACTGGGGAATTGGGGTCATTTGTGTGTTCATATCTGGTCACGGGACATAATGGGGCATAACTGTCTCAGCTGCTGGGATGGGTGGGATGGGCAGCTGCGTTGTTGTAGAAGGTCCCCAGGACTCCCATAATTCATGTTATTACATTGAACTCCCCACCTCGGTTCCCATCTGAACTAGAATGAATATAAACCCAACAGATGTTTGGTTCCCCGGATTTCTCTCCACCACTTCTTCAGGATTTCCTCTGCCACCAGATGGATGTGGTCAGCAACCACCACTTTGACCAAGACCGCRCAACAACCAAGTTTTGTCACCTATGAATGGTGAGATCATCACACTCTTGTCCTTTCTCTCACTCTCTTTTCCCCCTTTTCTTGTGTGATGTTGTTGCACTTTTGTTTTGYAATGCTTTCTATAGATAATAACTATAGATAATACTATAGATAATAACCACCAAAACGCTTCCTTACCTGTTTTCCTTTGCAACCAAATTGTTCTATAACAAACCCTACATTGTTCATTTACAAACAATGACCATTCAGTGTTGTTTCTTTCTAATCCACTCCAAGGGATCTGTGAAGAACCTTGGTTACCCTTGCCTTCTGTGAGGGGTCAACACCGCACACTCCCACAACACCCAGGAAACACATTTAAAGTATCTCATTTCTACATTTATATTTCCTTGTTTTTAATTCATTTGATAGTGGCAAGAAGCACAGAAGCCCTCACAAAAGCAGAAGACTGTGAGTCTTACCATGTCTTTAAAGGCCCCAAGAATGGCTGCTGTGATGATCCCCAGAAACAAGCCGATGATGTTGAGGACTGTGGAGGACCACAGCAGTCTGTACAGGTGAACCACDTCCTGGCAGCTGCTCACACCGAGAAATTCATAGTAGCTGGAGGATTGGTCTGAACTGAAAGAGAATGCAGACAACCTCACTGCGGTGGGAACGGTTCTGCACATAACACAGAGCACTACAGGAGCTCACTCCTCCCTGCTTGCTTTCCTCTTTGGCAAAGTACTACATCCATGTTCCCACCAAAACCTGCTCAGAAGAACTGGAGAAAGCTCTGCTGGAAAACCGGCTCTACTAAGGCCAGTATCAAACATAGTCCAACTAATACCCACCCTAGTTTGGCTGATTGGTGATGGTTACCACATGAACTCTTCTTTATTTTTTGTTCAGTGTCTCTAAACAGAGGCATAGTCTTGGTGTATGGATGCTGCCCTTGTCATTTAGCTGCCAGATAAAGCGTGCTTGGCTTTGCTTTTTTTCCCAGCTCACCTAGAAATCTCTCTTGACATCTCTGAAACTGGGGGAGGCAAGTTGCCCAAACATTAATTTAACCACTAGAAGAGAGATATTGCCAGCTGGCTCTATTTGTTTATGGTGTCTGTTGTTCCAAAGTAATACAACACTGTACAGTACAAAGATGTGTCTTTGCATTCTGGATTGTACTATCCAGAAATCTTTGTTCATATTTCTACACCACACTGGTTATTGTAAATCAGAAGTGTGCTGAAGTTACTCCTCATTGTCTTGTCAAAAGCCAGGAATATCCTACTGCAAAATTTGAAACCACAGATTCCTGCATCTCTTTCCAGGACCTGTCTTAATTCTAGCCCACTAATGAGCTCCAAGGGCAGCTATTTGAGTTGGAAAGATTTTTTTAAATGCCAAGCCTGTTTTTCCACCCTTAGGACATTGTCATCAGATTATGGTGGAAACCAGAAGTCAGCAGTTTGTGTTGACCCTTCTGTCCCTCCATACCTAGTGCATGGGGCAGCAGTAGAGATGGTAAAATAGATAGAAGGGAAWGCTCTGCAGAGTAGCCCACAACATTTCTGGGAAGAACCAAGACAGSCACAGCAACTTCTCAAAATAACCGWTCAACWGCTTYGGGTCATGGTTTTGACACTGAAGAATCACTATTGCTGGGTTGCCTTGGACCCTGTCATGAATGATGAACCCTAGTTAGATAAACMCATGAACCCTGATTAAATAAACCTACAGTTTCAGCTGCCATGAGGCTGAGGAAACCTAATTTCTGCCTTCATATGAATCTATTCCATGACTGACAACAAATCACTTTGTAGGACTGTGCCTCCTCCTGCTTCTCTCTAGCCATCCTSTGAACTGGAATTGCCAAGTCTCCAGAGCAGCATGACTGCTTCTCTATCCTGSTCCATGCCAGTGCTGTAAGATCTTGTTGTCCACTGTGGAATGTTGAAAAATAGCAGAACACTCGTGTTTAATTGTATCATTGAATACTCTCACAGGTGTTCCAAACAAACTTGATGTCTTGGAAAAATGGCACTGAGGATCTCTATCTGAAGGGGGAATATGCCTGACCTCTCCTTGTTRCTACTTTTTCATGCAGAAACCTTGTGTAGAAACTTGATTGTTCCAGCCTTGTTTCCCTATGCCTAAAACGTTCCTGTCTGGCATCACACTGGTCAAGGGTTACACAGGACTGGGGTTATGCAGGGCTATTAGCATGTGAAGAGGAARCAAAACCAAAATAAAATAGATGTAGGAAGGAAGAAAGATGAGAAAAACATGGGAAAAAAGAAGGAAAAGTGACTGTGGGTGAACTGTAGAGGGTTGCAGAGATTGCATGAGAGTGCATAGTACGATGATACAAGGGCAAGCAGTGATTGGACAAGGTGGAATGGTTTTAAACCAAAAGAGGGAAGATTTAGGTTAGAGGGAAGATTTAGAYTAGATATTAGGAAGAAATTCTTCACTGTGAGGGTGGTGAGACACTGGAACAGGCTGCCCAGAGAAGTTGTGRATRMCCYRTTTGTGGAAGTGTTCAAGGCTAGATTKGATTTGGYTCTGAGCAGCCTGGTCCAGTGGAAGGGTRCCTGCCCATGGCAGGGGAGTTGGAACTAGATGGTCCTGAAGGTCTCTTCCAGCCCAAAYCATTCTGTGATTCYATGMCATTGGGATGTGCAAGGATCTGCATTTCCAGACCAACRGTATATTTGAACAGGGATGTCACTGAGTGATCAGTTTTGATCACACAGCAAAAAGCTTATGGATATGTTTAAAGAAAAAGAAACTGAAATAATACCGACACTGATGAACAACTCCTGATCTATTCTGTGCGGGCAACAGTTGACTTCAATTGCAGAGGAACTGGATTTCTCAGCACACAAGCTCCTTGTGATACCTCTTCAGCCCCTACTAGTTATGAGTAAGGACAACCAACCAAGAATTTCTCAGTGAATGCACATAGGTACTTACTTCTCACAGTTGTACAGATCACAGCAATAGCACGTGTTACTCTTCACTTTCAGCTGGCACTTGCTGTTCAAGGTATGACATGTCACCTGCCAAAAAATAAGAAACTTAATTTTATCCTCAATGTTTCAGTGTGAATCATCCTATTTGACCACAACAAAAAAGCAGCTATTACGGCAGTGTCAAGTGGTATTTCTTGTGCAGAAAGATCCTGARATTCCAAAATTCACAACTGCAAGCCAGAAGGACATGCCTGGGCTCCTAGGWGTTTAAACCAGGATGACAATCCCTGAGTCTGAGGGCATTTGCACTGTGGAACCCCAATCTTCCAGGAGCAGGYTGCAGCCAGGGCTGCCAGAGTTTTCAAGCACTTTGCCACACTCCTGGTGCTGCTCTGCTGAGACCCAGAGTCTGCAGCCACAAGACTCAGATCTCTACAGCTGTGATGGAGTGACCGTGGGTCTGGAGAGACACTACAGCAAACACTGAAGTGGGTAAGAGCACCAGTCCTTCATGGTGGGGAAATGGCAAGGGAGCCAATTTATCTGAACAGCTTCCAATAAATGGGAGCTCCCCCCTTTCAGTGAAACCCTCMTAAAGAAGGAAGTCATTATGAACAAGAGCAAGAAAAATCTTCAAACCCACAAAACAGAATAATTCAGAAAGATCCAAGCACTCCAGCAAGTAAGTACCATTTATTGCAGACTCTTGAATAGAAAACTGAAAAGGTTATTTATGTGAGGAGAAATTGCAGGGATAGACAGATGTTAGAATAATAAAGGCAGGCACACATAAGCCACTCTCCATCCAGACACAAAATAATTTTAATGACTCCTTAAGTGTGGTAAGCATTAATCACTTCTATTTGGCACTATAGTGCCAAATTCAGACCTACTGATATATTTTATACATAAGGCTTTTTTTTTTTTTCTTTAGCATTTTGGCTTTGAAGTCCTGGACAGCTGTCAGTTTTTAACACAAGCAGTCAGAAAATACATTCTTTCTATAGCTTTTTCGATAGGAAAAATTCTCTGTATGCATTGAGAAGTATTTTGTTCATAAAATGCAGTTAAAATGTATTATTGAATGGAAAACTCATCATGAAAAAGTAGAAGGAGCATGCTTAGAAATGCATGGCTGCTYTTGACAAGTTTATCAGACAGTTCTGCCCAGTTCTGGCTTAACTGTGAATGTGTTACTCTGTGGAATAGTGTCCACAAGAGATGTTAAACCAGATGTTTTTCACTTCCTAAGTTCTGGGTCTGTGCATCCTTTTTAGTATGAAAACTGTCACTGTTGATTAGTTTGTACTCCTCACAYGCTTGTTCCCAGCAAAAAGAAAAGCCTTAAACACACTCAGCACCAGAGAAGTTCATCTTGCAACTGGTTTAAGACTTGCCACACTCGTCCTTAGCAGGATTTGATTGAGCAGTGAAAGATGGGTAACAAAACTAATGTTAGAAGGAGATTAAAATTATTCTTTGCRATTGCTTTGCTGCTCAGGACAAGGCTCTCATACAAATCTGCTCTTCTATCTCAAAATGAAAGTCAGATTATAAAAGGACAGTCTCAGCCCAGGTCACAATCTGGAAATGGATCTCACAACTTGATACRGACATATCCCACTTGTCACAAAGACATCTCACCCTCGTTTCACCACTCTGGCTCTATTGTGTCTAAACTTACTGGAATGTAGTATAAGGGTTTTGTTGGCCTGAAGTCAGATTCAGCTGCAGCTGTCCTCAGCATGAGCTGCAGTTTACTGCAGAAGAGGAACTCATGCTGTCACTGACTGCATCAGCTTAATCAAGGAAGTGACTGAAAYAACACACCTGGCTTCTTCTCAAAGCTGGTTGAAAACCAATCCTGGAGCACAGTGTGCTACCATGGCCATTTCATGGGATGCCCTATGCTTTTGCATTCAGTGGGTCTTCAGATTTTGGATTTGACCTCCTGTATGCAGTGAAAACGGCCTAGGACCTGCAAAGTTAAAATATCCTTTTCCTGTTACACATATATGATTGGGATAGGAGGGCTTTATAAGATGGAATGGGCTGAGATGCTGACTCTAAAAAGTGGTTTGTTCTGATGCATGGTYTGGGGGCCACTTGTGATAGGAAATAAAAGTAGTTTTTCCCTGTCCAAACAATAGTAAGGTCATCCTGCCCCTTTTAATGTAGAAGGCTAGAAGTACAAAACAGGGAGATCAGCACRATCTTAGACATGTTTTTAGATGCTTCTACACTACAAGACACATATTATTGGCCAGGGAAGTTACTGTAGTCATCTAATTTTATCACTGCATTTTTAAAACATGCATAGAACAAGACACTCCTTTTTAGGAGAATGGTGAATAAACCAAAATAAATTAGTGTGTGGTATGAGCAAGGGTGGTGGAAATGGGCCATTTGTGGGTGTTCTGCATGTCAAGACCTATTATTTCATTTCAGTGACCAGACACTTAGCTTTTTCATGTCCTGAACATTTGTGATTGATTATCTCCTCAGCACCAACTGAAGATATGTTCTCATCTCACATAACTGCACAAAAATCAAATTSTTTCTGCTTTGAGCAAACAGAACTGAAACAGGCAGACCAAATGAGCACTTAAAGGTGAGAGATGTCAATCAAAAGGAAACCTGCACTCAGTAAACAATCTGCTTTCCTAGTTGAGTGTTTGCCTGGCATGCAGAGCATGCCCCCTGCTATCTAGCTGGCTACCTTTGGAAAAGCAAAAGCCACATATAAATGCCATGGATTCTTAACTCTGAATTACCACATGCTGACTCTAAATGAGTGAACAGCCAGACAAGAATGTTATTAGAAACTACCTATAATTTTTAAAGATAGGGGGTTTGTTTTTTTTCCAGAGCAGAGGAAGGAATTCTGGGTGGCCCAAGTTTAGACATTCCCAGAATCAGCAGAGCTGTGGAAAATGTCTGGCCAGAAGCCTGAGGCTGGGGTCACCTGCAAGGAGTTGTGGTCAGTGTGACACCAACCACATGCTTATTACAGGAATCAGAAGCATTTCTCAGGTCATGTCTATGTCTGAGTGTACACGCACACTTCAGAAGAGGATGGAGTAAAACAGGATAGGGTGTTTGTCAAACTTCATTAGTTTGTCTGGGTAGGCCTTTAGTCAAGGAGACTAGTGAAATATTTTTTCATACATTTTCCAGAATCAACAACAGGGTGCCCCAGARACAAGATTTTAGGAGCTGCTTAACCTGGTAGTATGCTTTGCTAAGCTTTCTAGAAATATTAATATTGGTACAATAATGGTAACATTCTCCATGCACTGTTTTTTTGCCATGGCAGGAATGGTGATGAAGAACAACTGGCTGCTTGAAAGTTATACCATTGTTCAGCTGCTCTCCATCTTGCTTTTTTTTTTCACTCCCACCAATTTACCACAATAATAAAATAGGGAAAGAAACTAAATCTGGACTTCTCAGGASACTAGCCATTTGGATACAGGCACTTTTCCARMCATGTTAATGTCATTGAGATAATGAAAAAGCTGCATTCAAACCGCTGATGYTCTTGGCCTGTGCYGGATAAATACAGAGATTTGAAGTCTTCTGGACAATACAAATGGATTAATTTAGGTATTTCCTCTTCCACTTGGAGTCTACAAAAACCTCCTTAGAGGAAGATGCCAGCGTGTCAAACACATTCCAGACAGTTATTATACAGCATAGATGGACTAGGAATCATTCCAGAGTAATGCAATGGATACAAACACTGATGATGACTCAAAACCTCACTGATTGTAGTGATTTGCAATCATCAGAGGCTTGGACAAGCAGGGAGTCACTTGTGGGAGRAAAACAATGGGACTTCTATCTACCCATGGCCTGCACGCACAGACATGCTCTCAAACATCTCCCTTGCTCCTCCCCAGCCCCTCAAAGCACARCAGAAATGAACAATCGATGAGGTGAGTTTGTTTACCTCAGTCTGGTAGGCATCATATAGGAATCCTATTCCACTCGARTAAAACTGGCATCTTTTGTTGTACAAAGGTCTGGGTTCCTGTAAAGAGAAAAACAGCCAAAAAGTGGTTGGTTTGGGGGAAGTGGAAGGAGACATGTCCCCTTGCCAGACACTTACAGCTCCAGAGAGCTGCAGCCAACGCAGTCACTTGGGAAAGCAGCTCACACCCCCCATGTTTCCAGGCTTTCCTCAGGGTTACATTTTCTATCCCCACTCCAAACTCCAAGCYATGTGAGTATCATTTATTTTTCTCTAAGAAGAAGACATCACCCCTGGCATTTAACCACTTGACATCATTTAACCACGCTTGACGTCAAATAGGACCGCTCTATGAGAAGGGTCCAGTCACTCTTTTTTCTGCYACAGTTTCTTACCTACCACCAAGACTTACTTTGCAGGTTGTTTTCAAGATAAAGGACTTTCTTTTTAAAGAATTTCAACAATGTCCAGAATGAAAAAAAGTAAGATATGTAATAGTTTGATCATTCCACTTACAACATACACTTCAAACCACAGGAGCAAAATAAAGAATAATGAAGAAATTAAGGCATAAAGGGAAAGCAATCTAYATTGTTTGGTTTTGCCTTATTTTCCATTTATGCTATTGCAAAAGATGCATTTGCTGCTCATATTTCCTATTTTGCTTATAACAGTTCCCACAAACTGGTATAAAGGAAGAACACAATGAAATATCCTCGGCCACTGACCTTGGCAAACAGCAAACAGCCACTTTGAAGGCCAGAGGGTGCATACCTCAGTCAGTTTCAGGTCTAGATCATATTTGTTTTGGGAGGATATGACAGCTTGAGTCCTCTGTCTCAAAGTAGAGTTAAAATTACTTATGTTTAAAAAAAAAAAAAAGAAAATACTTTTTCAACTTTCTATCACTCATCCAGTACTGATCTGTGCCCCTAAAAGCACTCAGGTGCTCATTGCTCCTCAGTGTTTCAGTCAGACCAGATCCAAGACAGAACATGCATACCCACTATCTGCCATCCCCTCTCTTCACGTCAAGAAAAGGACTCTTTATGTTGTTAGCAGAAATCTGCACTGATTCATTTTCACTGCATTTTAAAGCTTTAAGAYCCATCCAGGAATAACCCAGAAATTRCRGAAAGATCCACACTATTTCAGATCGCTTCTGAGTATTCTCTGCTTGTTGGATAATGAAGTGTGAACTCTATAAATCTGCTGATCCAAAATACATAATTAGTTAAAATGCAGAGCTAGGCAGGAATGCAGACAGATCAATGAATAAAGCCTCTCCATCAGCTTGTTTGCCTTTCTGATTACTCCAGCAAACTTAAGCAAGTTTGGACACCAACTTTCAAGGGTTAGAGAAAGGTTAGCTTCTTGCATCCAAAAATATTTATTTATATTACACAAGTGTAAGAAAAAATGCTTCAGTAACTCTTTTCCTCTAGAGGAAAAGCAAATACCACTGAACAGCATGCCAAGTTTCGAACTAGGTCAACATTCTTCCATGGTCCTGGGAAAGCATTAGCCTTTAGCCATGACTTCCAGGGACAGATCTGGTTGGAAGGTCTAACAGGATTGCAGTTTCTCTGCCAGAATGAGGATCTGACATGGAAAGGAGCTCTGATGGACTTCCTAGTTACAAAGAAAGAAAGATTGGTCAGGGATGTGAAGATCAGGGGTTGCCTTGCCCTTAGTGATATGGTGGGATTCAGAATCTGGAGAGGATGGAGCMGGATCCCAACTCTGGACTTGAAGAAAGGAGACTTTGGCTTAYTCAGTATGCTTGGAAGAATCCTGTGGTGTACTGTCCTGGAAAGGAATGCGTTTCAGGAAAGTAGGCTGATATTCAAGATTCACCTCCTCCAAACTTAGGAGCAGYTCATCCCAGCAAGAAATCAAGCAAAGGCAGCATGAGGCCTGTGTGCATGAACAAGGAACTCAAGTTACTCAGATGTAACTTAACCATAAAAAGGAAGCCTACAAGAAGCACAATAAGGGGGAAATCACCAGGGAGGAAAATCGAGAAATTATATGAGTATGCATGGATGGGACAGGAAAGCCAAAGCTCCCCTGGAATCCAATCCAGCAAGGATTGCAAAGGGCAAGAAGAAGGGCTTCCATGGGTGTATTAGCAGCAAGAGAGATCAGCAAAAATATGTGCACATTACTGAATGAGGCAGGCAACACAGTACAAAGACATGGTAAAGGTCAAGGTATTCAGTGCCTTCTSTGCCCTGGTCTACAGTGGAGACCAGGGGGAAAACCTGGCACATAAAGAATTACCCTTGCTGAAGTGGGACCAATTTAGGGAATATTTTAACACACTGGAGATACATCCTGTCTTCAAGGATGACAAGAAAGAGGATCAAGGGAATACTGGTGGGAAGGTGATGGAGCAAACAATCTTGGAAACAATTTCCAAACATCTCAAGGACATGAAGGTGATCTGGAGTAGTCAGCATGSATTTACAAAGGGAGAGTCATGTCTGAYCAACCTGTTAACCTTCTACAAGGATGTGACTGGCTTGGTGGATGGATGGCTGGAGCTTCTCACTCCTGCTTCGGGATGTTTATCTCCACTTCACTAATGCCTCTAGCAATCTCCCAGACAAGCTGATGAAATAGGGGCTAAATAAATGGACAGTGAGGTGGACTGAAAGCTGGCAGAACTGCTGAGGTTGTTCTGTTGGGAGAAATACACAGTGTCCAGGTGGAGATGACTTAATTGCTGTCTACCCCAGGGGCTAATACTAGAGCCAATATTGTGTAACATCTTAATTACTGATTCATTATTGAACTGGATGAGGTAGAGTGCACCCTCTGCTAGCTAGCAGATGGTACAAAACTGGGATGAGTGACTGAAACAACAGAGGACCCTATTATTGTTCAGAGAAACCTGGGCTGGAGAAATGGCCCACAGGAACCTCAACAAGTTCAGTAAAGGTGAAAAAATTCTGCACCTGGGGAGRAATAATCCCATGCACCAGAAAAGACTGGGGCCTGGCTGGCTGGAGAGCAGCTTTACAGAGAAGGACCTGAGGGTCCTGATAGGTAACAAGTTAAACATGAGCCAGCAACTTGGCCTTGAGGCAAGAAAGGCCAGCAGTATCCTTGACTGCACAACAGGGAGCACCACCAGCAGGCCCAGGAAGGTGATCCTTTCTCTTAACACTGGTGAGGCATATTTGGAATACTGGGTAGGGTGCTGGCAGCTCCCCAGGATGAGCGAGAGCACCAACRTGGTCTGTTAATTAACAGACTGGGGCATCTGTCACAGGAGAAGCAGTGCTGGGACTGTTCAGGCTAGACAAGAGAAGATYCCATGTACCTTATAATATGTATCAATACTTGATGGGGAAGTGAAGAAGATGGAGCCACATTTCTTTCAGTAGTGTCCAGAAAAATGACAAGAGGCAATGGCACACACTGAAATACAGGAAATTCCATTTAAACATAAGAAGAAAACTTTTTTTGTTGTATGGGTGATTAAACACTGGAAYGGGCTTCCCAGAGTGATTTTGGAGATACTCCAACTGGACACAGTTCTGAGTTACCTGTGCTAGCTGACACTGCTCTAAGCACAGGTGGTTGGATTAAAAATCTCCAGAGGTTCTGCCCAGTCTCAGCAACTTGGATTCTGAGAAGAGGGTCAGAGTCCATGTCAGGGTGTGACAAGGAGTTTCTCTCAAAGTATCMTAGGCTGTGAGTTTAGCAGATATACCTTAGCACCTGGAGACAAATGCTCCTTGGCTTTCRGGGCATTCCTATCCTAACTACAGGCTGCTGATGAGTGACACCTCCACATCACCCTATGAGGCTGTGTCTGACCCTGAATGCTAACATACTCCCTTCAGAGGCCTCTGTATCTTTAAAAGTCAGTGAGACAGCTGTCTAATCTGCCTCCAGCAAGTACAGGCAAACCCTCACTTTTGGCCCTGATCTCTTGGTTCAACACAGTTTTCCTACCCCTACRCCTCCTTCCTCTTAAAAATAAATTGATCCTTCTATTGGTTTGGTCTTTGACAGAGAAGGCAAGCACACTTTTCATCCAAGTGTTCCTGTGGMTGGAAGCATCACTGTTCCCTGAGGAGAGAGGTGATTGATTAATCCATGCCAGCTATTATTGGTTGATATTGCTGTGCAGCAAAAAGGTCAGAGCTGAGAGTGGAAGTGACCACAGTGAATACAGTRATTCCATTTGCATGCACAGCCATGGCAAATGAGTGCCCTCCTTCACGCACCTGATTTTGAGCAGCAAGCCTGCTGCACTGGTACAGTCAGCCTTTTGCATTCWGTCTGTTCTCTAAATGTACCAGTAYGGGCCAYCAAAATAAATRAGTGATGATYAAGTGTACAAAAATAACAAAGATTAGGTAACACTRGCCTTGTCCAGACACCCACAGAATTTAACACCTAAAGCACAAAGCTTTTAAGTAAAGGTACATTGGGGATGCCAAAATGTTGCTTTGGTGAAAGCTTCCATTTTTATGTCACAGACGTGCTGTGGTCTGTCTGTCTACCAAGGTGTTTATATGAATAAGGCACCACACAGATATTAAAAAGTGTTTAAAAGTTATCCAGCAGTATGTCACACCACATAAGCACCCGCTGGACTTTAATGGAGTCTCTAATACCAAAGGCAAACGAGACATACTTTATATCTATAAAAGTATTTCTGACAGACTGGTCTTAAAATACTTCACATYGCTCACAACAGATTGTGTATTAATATAGTATATACCTACCACTCCTTGATTCTTCTTGATTCTACTGCWTATAGCAACACTGGTTGAGACAGAGCTACTTTTACATGCTATATATGTAAGTGTATATATACATGTATACATATATAAACATATATATTTAATCCAATTAGAGTAACTTTAAAGTATGTAGCAACAATATTCTTTTTAAATAACTTAACATCCTTTGATACCAGGAATTTCCTCAACCATTATTACTGAAACAGAGCTATGCAATAACTCCCACTAATGTGTAACATTAATACATTAAAATATTAAGATATRAGAAATAATGTGTTCCCTTTCTCTGCTTCTTTG